ACGCTACCCTGCTAGCAAGGGTTGAGTGATTAAACCGAAAGTGAAAGGTGCTGTACAATAGGGAATGGAGTCCTCTAACCATCTCGACTGGAGGGACGTTGAATATTGAGGGAGAATAGATTTAGGAAGGACATGCATTGCATTCATCAATGTAATTGTAGCATTGGTAACTTGATTGTGATAATTACTTTCCTTCTTGCAAGTATTTTCACGTAAGAAATCACGTGTTTATATAGTTATTTCCCTGTGAAGAATGTGGCTGTGTATTTCATCATTTGTTATTGGACTCACCCTCTTGTTGTTTGTCTCTATTGTATCTTGCTGTATGTTATGTATTTTAGATGGAACCCCATCAAGCAGCGATCTGGATAGAGACCGGCTGCGATGAAACATGGACGTTCGATCCCCAGAGCCGGAGGTATGTCTTCAAGGGGATGGCTCGCTTGACCCTAGGCCCCATCACTGAGGATGGGTGGGACACTCGCTGGAGTGACCATGTATATACCCACATTTGTGCGCCAACATCTGAAAACGAGCCATTTTCCTTGAATCCCCCTACTGCCCCTCCTACTATATCTTTAGTTCATTCATCAACCTCTGGACCTCCTTCTGATATTGGGCTTGACACCACTCCTAAACTTGTTTGGAGGGACGTGGGCATCGTTGAGTCATCCATTCGGTCCACACCCCACTCCTTATCTAGAATTTCCTTGTTGCCCGCTGATGAAGCTGGACCTTCCTTTCGCCATCCATCTCCTCCACCACCAGCTTCACGTTCACCACCTCCCACTTTCGGATGGATCGATAGTGATGATGATAGTCCGCCCTCTCTGCATCCTCAGCCACGCGAAGACCCATTTGATTTCGATGGGATTGAGTCAGACCCTAGCGAAGATTCTCTTCCCTTAGAGGCTTATGATTTTATGTAGCTAAGGATATGTCACTGCTCGTAGGATTCTGTTTTAGGGGTTTATTTTTTTTGAAAAACTTGTTATTATGGGTTTTATTTTGAGATGTATTTACTTTGGTGAATATGTTGACCCCTTGCATTTCATATATATATATATATATATATATATATATATATATATATATATATATATATACATGTCAGGCATATACTCCAGCATTCCTTTATTGCATAAAGCTCTCCCATTTGTGCTTCTTTTGGATTAATTATATTCTGTGTTGTATAATTCCATGATATTGGTTGTGGCAAGGATAAGAAATTTTTAGTGAGCTCTGTGCAGTAATTTCACTTTTGGGAGAAAAAGGATTTGAAGATTTCAATTTGGATGGGTACTTGAAACTGGTATTGATTGGATTATGTAGGACTTCACAACTTGATTTTGCAATAATTCCAAACTTGAATTATTCGGGAACATGCGACTGAGTGTTTGGTTGCACATACAAAATTACATTCTTTCAGGATCTTAATGTTCATGATTATCACCATTCGAGTCGTTGTCATTATGTGTCCAATTATTTTCTCTACTATGAATTGGTTCGGGTGTAAGTGGCAGATTAGTAAATAGGGTGTTACAGATGAGAGATTGGAGCCCATGTAAATTGCTTAATTTGTATGGGATGTTATGGTTAATTCTTGCTTTTTGAGTTACCCTAATTTAGAGGAAGAGGAAAAGTATTGAATCTTGTGAGGGATAAGGATAGAATTGCATGAACAAACTAAGGATTGCATATTTCATTAATTTGATTCATTAATTTCATCACTTGCTTTACATTAAAATTGGAATTACACAAAACCCCCTTGTTTTAATTGATTTTATAGTAAATGTTCACAACATGTTCAATGTATGTTACAAACCAAAGTCGTTGGAGACAACCTAGGCTTGCACCCTAGATACTACAAACTTTTTCTGCATATTTTGATGAAGGTTGACGACAAATCTTTTTGCAAAACGAAATGAAAATTTATCGTTCATCAATCACACATTAGTTCAAAAGGTAAATTCCAATCAGGTTTTGCAAGAATAGGTGCAGAAATCAGTTTTCCTTTCAAAACAGAAAATGCATGCAAACAAGCATCATCAAATATGAAATCAGCATCTTTTACAAGTAAATCACTAAGAGGTTTTGCAATTGTTGAAAAGTCCTTGATAAACCTCCTATAAAAACCAACATGTCCTAAAAAACTCCTAATTCCCTTAAAATTGATTGGTGGAGGCAGTTTACTAATGACTTCTACTTTTGCTTGGTCCACCTCTATTCCTTTTTTTGAAATTTTATGGCCAAGAACAATGCCTTCTTGGACCATGAAATGACATTTCTCCCAATTCAACAGAAGGTTAGCATCTTGACATCTCTGCAAAACAATGGATAGATTAGCTAAGCAATCATCAAATGAATTACCAAAAATAGAGAAGTCATCCATAAACACCTCTATAATTTTTTCTACCAAATCAGAAAAAATGGAAAGCATGCACCTTTGAAAAGTGGCAGGAGCATTGCATAATTTAAAAGGCATTCTTCTATATGCAAAGACTCCAAATAGACATGTAAAAGCAGTCTTTTCTTGGTCAAAAGGATCCACTGCTATTTGGTTGTATCCTGAATATCCATTAAGGAAACAATAGAATGCATGTCCAGCAAGTCTTTCCAACATTTGATCAGCAAATGGTAGTGGAAAATGGTCCTTTCTTGTTGCATCACTTAACTTCCTATAGTCAATACACATGCTCCAGCTAGTGACAGTGCTAGTAGGTATGAGTTCATTCTTCTCATTAGGTACAACTGTCATCCCTCCTTTCTTAGGAACAACTTGGTCTAGACTCGCCCATTGGCTGTCAAAAATTGGATAAATGATCCCTGTATCTAGCAACTTCATGACTTCTTTCTTAACTACTTCTTTCATGGCTAGGTTCAATCTTCTTTGTGGCTGCACAACTGGTTTAAACTTTTCCTCAAATAAAATTTTGTGCTTACAAAGAGAAGGATTTATACCTTTCAAGTCTGAAATACTCCAGCCAATTGTAGATTTGTGTTTTCTCAGAATTCTCAGCAGCTTTTCCTCTTCTTCCTCCTTGAGTTCATTGTTGATGATAACTGAGTTTTCGTGACTCTCATCCAAGAAAGCATATCTCAAGTTAGAAAGTAGTTGCTTGAGCTCTAACTTCTAATTTTGATTTTCTTTGATTTCCGTTTTCAGCTCTTCTTTAACTGATTTTTCTGTAGGATTCAGAATTGGTAGGGCTTCTAGTTGCTGCTCAATTTCCATCATTTGTTCTGTTTTACAAATCTCAGAATTTGTATTTCCTACAGCTATGGTTTCTCTCAACATAGAATTTTCATCAAATTCATTAATAGGATAATGTGTAATAAGAGAATCCAAAATATCTACTCTCATACATGAATTATCTTCAGCTAGATATTTCAATGACTCAAACACATTAAACACTACTTTCTCATCTTGAACTTGAAGCATAAGTTTTCCTTTCTGCACATCTATTAAAACTCTCCCTATTGCAAGGAATGGCCTTCCTAGGATCAAAGGTATGTTTGCATCCACCTCCATGTCCAAAATTACAAAATCTGTAGGAAAAATGAACTTATCAACTTTAACTAATAAATCCTTAACAACTCCATATGGATAAGTGTATGATCTATCAGCTAGTTACAGTGTGATGTTAGTGGGTTTAACTTTTTTTTATGCCTATTTTCTTCATGATAGCTAAAGGCATCAAGTTTATGCTTGCTCCCAAGTCACACAATGTTCTTCCAATAGTGCACTGTCCTATTTCACATGGAATGCTGAATGATCCTGGATCTTTGAGTTTTTGAGGAAGTTTTCTCTTGAGAATGGCACTGCACTCCTCTGTCAAGGTACTATTTTGTCATGTTCTAGCTTTCTTTTTCTGGAAAGTAGTTCTTTCATAAATTTTGCATATGAAAGCATTTGCTCCAAAGCTTCTACAAAAGGTATGTTAATCTGTAATTTCTTAAAAATATTAAGAAACCTTTTAAATTGTTTTTCCTGTTCAGGATTTTGAACCCTTTGAGGATAAGGCAGCCTCTTATATTTTCTGGATCTATTGTCTTGCAAGAATCTTCAAACACTTGCTTCTGGATCTACCTTTTCTTCTGAATGATCTTTCTTCAATAGCTTAAAATTTTCTTGTTGTAGATCTTGTTCAATTCTCCTTTCTTCTATTGCATCTTTGACTTTCTTTTCTGCAGCTTTTGGACTTGCAACCCCAGCTTCACTCCTTGTAGTGATGGCTTGACATTGCTCCTTAGGATTTATTACTGTATTACTTGGAAATCTGCCCTCATCTCTGCTGGACAACTGCTCAGCTAACTGTCCAATCTGGGTTTCCAGTTTCTTCATAGAGGCTTTTTGGTTTTTGAAGCTTGTTTGGGTCACCTTCATAAACTGCAGAATGGTTTCCTCCATCTCAGTCAACCTTTCATTCATAGGTTTGAAATATTTCTAAGTTTCTTGAGGTTGAGTGGATGGATTCCTCTGAAAATAAGACTGTTGTGCTGCTGGACCTGCATTATAGAAAGGTAAATTGGAGTTAGAATTCTTGGCAGCAAAATATTGATTATTCCAATTAGAATACTGCTGACTTCTATTATTTGAAAATTGAAATCCAGGAGGATATGAGGGTTGTTGTCTCTGAAAATTGTTCGTATAATTCACTTGTTCTTGTGGTTCACTTGTAGATGCCTCACATGCACCATTGGCATGATTTCCTCCACAAAAATCATAGTTTAGCTGACTATGTTGTTCTGAAAACATCTGATTTTGTAGCTGGTTCTGTGCAAGAAAGGTTTCCAAAATCTTAGCTTCATAACCAGAGTTTCTTCCTTGATTTCTTGAGTTTGAATTTTGGTACATTAATGATGCCATCATTTCAATGATTCTCTGGACTTTTTCTAAAGATTTTGTATTTAAGGAACCTCTAGCAGCAGCATCAACCATTGTTCTTGTTGATATATTCATTCCATTATAGAAAGTCTCCAATTGCATCCAATCTAGAATATAATGATGTGGGCACCTTCTCAGCAATTCTTTATATCTCTTCCAAGCTTCATACAAAGATTCTCCTTCCTGCTGCACAAACTATGTAATTTCTTCTCTCAGCTTAGCAACTTTGGATGTAGGAAAGTACTTGGTTATAAATTTATTCACTAGCTCTGTCCAAGTTGTGATGCTTCCTTGTGGTTGAGCTTACAACCAACATTTGGCTCTATCTCTCAAGGAAAAGGGAAATAATCTTAGTCTGATGGCTTCTTCACTAACCTTATTCGTTCTGATTGTATCACATAACTGCAAAAAATTAGAGATATGTAGGTTAGGGTCATCAGAATTTCCACCAGAAAACTGATCCTGTTGGACTAAGCGTAATAGGGCAGGTTTAATCTCAAAATGGTTAGCTTGGATAGTTGGCCTAATTATAGAAGAATTAAAACCTTGCATCTTAGGAATTGCATAGTCCCTTAATATTCTAATTCTATTTTGCTCTGCCATCTCTATTTCTGGATTTGGTTGTCTCAAAGGTGTAGGTGTTCATTTTACTCTAGGAGTATTCTGAATTTCTGGAGAATAGACAACTTCTACTTCACTATCACTTCCTATGAATTTTTCTGCTCTAGCCTCTCTTCTTAATCTTGTTAAGGTTATGTCTATGTCAGGATCAAAGACCAAAATTGATTTATTTTTATTTTTACCACGCATATACAAATCAGAATGCAACAAAATTAAACTACAAATCAGTATTCAGAAATGCACAACAAAGATTATGCAGAAAAATATCAGTAAAAACATATAAAATTCAAGTCTAGCAACTGCAGAATTATGCAGAATTGTAGAATCATGCAGAAATTATCTACTAGTATTCTACACTTATCTATTAAAATAAGAATAGAGTAACTTGAATGTAATACTAACTACAAAGAAAATTTAAGAAAACAAGTACTCAATCTAGCAATTTTTCTGTTACCAATGATATTAAAACTCAAATTCCCTGGCAACGGCGCCAAAAACTTGTTGTTCACAATTCTAAATACTAGCAAGTGCACTAGGAATTGTAGCAAGTAATGAGTAATTTTTAAGATCAGAATATCGTCTCCACAGGGAATTAGGCAATCAATTATTACTTCACAAAACAATCACCATTTGAGCTATACGAATTTGGAAGATTTGTAACCTTCAAAAGTCAAGAACAAGCACAATTAAAAGGTAAGAAACTTGTATTAAAAATAGATTATGAAGTTGTGGTGAATTGAAATAGGAATGAAGAATAGTTAGGAATTTACTTCACAAGAATGTCAATATTGATTCAATTATGCCTCTGAACATTCAAGAACTTGATTAATTGACAATCAGTTTCACATATTAATAGCCAAAGGTTAATCCCTTAACTTAATGACCCTAACAAGCAACTAAACCACCCTAATCCCTTAGGTGAAGTTCAATTTCAAGTTGCATTAAGACTTAGAACCTTAGGATTGCAGAATTAGGTCTCCTTATCCCTAAGAAATCCCTAATTCTGATTGCTAACTCAGATCAGAGAAGCAAATCCAACTTCCATTGGTAAATGTTCCTCTTTGATTAACCACACGAATTTCCATTCACAGATTGCAATAACAGCAGAATTAACAATTCAATTAATCCAAGAACTCAAAATTCAAAAGCAAAAGTCAAATCAATACATCAATTCGAGTTCCATAAACTCCTAACTATGGAGAATTCAAAAAACATTGTAAAAGAGAAAGAAAAAAAGGAGAAGAAGAGAAGAATTGTAGAGAAGCCATCTCCACGAGCTCCAATCCAATGCCTCTTCTTGGAGCTTTGAAATTTGACCCCAATCCTCTCTCTCACTCTCTCAACGACAATCTAATAGAAAAAACAAAAATTGAACAAAAGACCCCGAGTTCTGAGCTTTCTCAGGTATTTATAAGAATTCTTGACTCTGGGCGTTGTCACTTTGCTTCATAAGAGTGACCACGCAGAGGCTCATGTAGTTTCTGAAAGACTAGAACATTCACTTTTGTTGACAAGAGTAGCAACGTAGGAGGTCAATGAGTGCGCGTGATCACTTTTGAGAGCAAGAGTGACCACGCGCAACTTGCCTTGATACACTTCTTTCTGGAACATCCACTTTACTGGTAAAAGTGGTAACGCAGAGCTCGCTGAAATTTTGCCTTTTCTGGAACATTCACTTTTGTTGGAGAGAGTGACCACGTAGAGCTCGCTAAAATTCTGCCTTCTCTGGAACATTCACTTTTGTTGGCGAGAGTGGTAACGCATAGCTCTGCTGAGATTGAACTTCTCTGGAACGTTCACTTTCAGTGATAATAGTGATCACGCCCACACTCAACTTCTCTTTTAAGCTATGAATCACTCACTTTCGCTGGCAAGAGCAAACTCCATAAGCCATGTTCTTTTGAGTCCAGACTTGTTACTTTTCTGCTATTTCTCCATTGATCTACTAGCTTCATGGACTTTGCTCAGAATTTTCTACAAAAACACACTTCAATTATTAATTTCTACATAGAAAATTCATAAATGCTAAATTAATTATGTATTTAAAGAAATTCTTCAATCATTCTATTTTTTTATGATTTTTTTTGCTTTTTCCAACACATTTTCCTTATCAAATGGATTAAAACTATAGTAAAATACTAGTAAAAATATGGATCATCACGATACAATTCTCGCTTAAGCGAGCTTCCATTCTCACCTGAGCGAGTCTTCCTCGCCTGAGCGAGACAACCAGACAACAAAACTACCTATTTTTCTTATATATCGCTTGAGCGAGAATACTCTCGCCTAAGCGAGATTAAGTCTAGAGAGCACCTATCCTTCCTGCAACTACTCACCTGAGCAAGCTCTATCTCCCTTGGGTGAGATGCTCCCATCCCGAGCAAGATCTCTTTATCGCCTGGACGAGAGGACAGTTGGGCCAATTTATCTCATTCTCGCTTGAGCGAGACTCATCTTGCTTAAGCGAGGGGTTCTAGAACTCTCTATTTTAGGAAATCCTACGTTGCTTGAGCGAGATCTATCTCGCTTAAGTAAGATATCCTTTATCCAAACTCCTATTTTTCTTATCCAACAGTAATAAAATTGAGGGTATTACAGTGAACGGTCCTTAGGAACACATAAGAAAAACCCGAATAAAAGGATTCAATGTATAAAAGATAGGGAATTAACACAGGACATGGTACATATTGTCCAAAGAGAAGATTTAATTTAGACATTTTATATGTAAGGTAGTGCATTGAAGTTAATATAGTGGAAAAAAATGCATTTATAATAATCATGATAGTCTGAACCAGTAGAAAGTTTTAGTGAGTAACCAAAGGGAGAATAGACAATTGAAAAGAAGAAAAAAAAAATCCTAGCAAAAGTCACTCAAATAATAGAAATATTTCTAATATATTCACAGAAGGTAATGAAAAATTCTCTTTGCAAGAATTAACAAATGAATAAGGGTTCAAGGAGTCGTTTGGTTTCTGAAGATGTTACATTAATTTTTCAAGTGATAATTTTTTTAAAAAAAATTAAAAAATAAAAATTAATTTTAATATTATTTATGTAATTAAACTCCCCTATCACCATCTCTTCTCAATATTAAACATCTAAACAAAGGAGGAGTTTAACCTCCTTCCTCCTCCCTTTCCTTCCCTTCTCCTCCTTCTCCCTTCAAACTCTTCCCTTTTCTCCTCCTCCAAACGCTCAAACAAAACCTAAGTTATTTTTCAACAATTAAGAAATTAATATTAAAATTGGTGACACTAAATTAAATTGTAACAATTGTATAAGATTGTCAAAAATACTAAAGTAAATGATAGTTATTTAATTGTAGACCAAAAATAACTTAGAAAGATAATTAAATTAAAAAAATATTAGTATAAGTTTTAAGCTTCTCTAAATTTTAAAAAAGTAAATTTAAAATAATTGTGATTTTTATGTAATATTCATTAATTTATATAACATTTGGTCATATATAAATGTTGGTAGAACTTTCGTGTTTTTCAAGGAAGGGATTATTTATTTCAAATAAAAAAATTTCATGCAACTAGTTACATAAAAGGGATAAATGAGAGAAAGTTAGACAAAATTATAAATAAAAAATAATATAATAGCCTCTCAACAAACGATAAAAGGAAAAAAGAAGTAAAAAAATAGCACCAAAGAACTTAATAGTTTGGCACTCAGCTACTCTAAATGAGTTTTTCACTTATAGTCATAGAAGAAAAGTCTATTAAACTAGGCATAAGATATCGACTTATAAATAAATTACTTAGTTGAAATATGGTTGACAAGAAAATATGAATACTCAAAAAAATAACTTTCTTATGAGTAGACCAATACACTAAAAAAAAAAACTTTGACTTTATTAATAGCCAATTACACACTCAAACAACTACAAGAAAACTCATTCTCTTAAACACAAACCTCTTACAACAAAGGTAAAGTAATAAACTATTTTACCATGAAATTTTATATTCTACAACATCACCTATTTATAGAGTTTTGAAAGAAGACCTTTCTTAATAATTAAGCAAACAACTTCAACTTGGATTTATCTTATTTTATGATGATGAAGAGTTCAACTTAAATTTGTATTCTTTATAATGGAGAGTTTAATTTGAATTTTTCTTTTAGCAAGTTTAATTTCTAACATATCTAAAATTATAGCTAAGTTAACTTGTTTGATGAGTTAGAAATACACCTGTATGCCTTAGATAAATTTTTTGGAACCTAAACTTAATACTTGTTATATATGTGCTTTAGGACTCATGGAAACATATTGTTTTCGTTCAAAGCATATTAGGCTTTTAACTAAATTAGTATTTTTGCAAACAAATGTTGTTAATAAATAGTTACATTTAGATCATTTGAGCATCACACTAGTGTCTCAAAAATGTATGAAGATTTAAAGATGTTTTTGTTGCCAAAGTAGAAAAAAGAAGTAGCAGTGTGTGTGATTTTTTATCCAGTATGCTAAAAGGCCAGGTCAAACATAAAAAATCTTCTGTGACAGAGTATTTAGACACCCAAAAATAAAAGTGGGACAGAATCATCATGGATTTTGTCATTAAATTTTTAAAACTTCTGTTATCAACATTTGATAC